GGCTTCATAGTTGGTAAAAATGGAGTAGAAGTAGATGAAGAGAAAGTTAAAGCAATCAGGGATTGGCCAACACCACAAAATGCAAGTGACGTTCATAGTTTTTATGGGTTAGCTAGCTTCTATAGGAGATTTATAAAAGATTTTAGCACCATAACTGCACCATTGAATGACTTGGTGAAAAAGAATGTTGTTTTTAAATGGGGAGATATGCAAGAGAATGCATTTAATGAGCTTAAGAATAAATTAACCAATGCACCATTACTTGTTTTGCCTATCTTTGATAACACTTTTGAAATTGAGTGTGATGCAAGTGGTTTGGGCATAGGTGCTGTTTTGATGCAAGATGACAAACAAAGTGGGTGGAGTTTATTGAAACATTTCCGTATGTCATCAAATATAAGCAAGGTAAGGATAATGTGGTAGTTGATGCATTATCTAGAAGATACAATCTTTTTACTTCTCTCCGTGCAAAAATTCTTGGATTTGAGCATATTAAAGAATTATATCGAGATGACCACGACTTTGGAATTATTTATGTATCTTGTCTTACAAAAACAGCTGTAGATGATTATTATGTGTTTCATGAATTTTTATTTAAGAAAAGTAAGCTTTGTATTCCTAAATGCTCTATCCGAGATTTGCTTGTTAAAGAAGCAGATGGTGGTGGCTTAATGGGACATTTTGGGATTAATAAAACTTATAATTTGTTGCATGAACACTTCTTTTGGCCGAAAATGAAGCATGATGTTCATAAATTTTGTAGTCAATGCTTTAAATGCAAAGAAGCTAAATCTAGATCACAACCAAATGGATTGTACACTCCTTTGAATGTACCTAATGAACCTTGGACTAATATATCTATGGATTTTGTTCTTGGTTTACCGCACACTAAAAAGGGTAAAGATAGTATTTTTGTTGTGGTAGACAGATTTAGTAAGATGACTCATTTTATTGCATGTAACCAGACATGTTGCTGACTTATTTTTTTAGGGAAGTAGTAAGATTACATGGAATCCCTAGAATAATTGTTAGTGATAGGGATGCTAAATTTCTAAGTCACTTTTGGAAAGTATTGTGGGGTAAATTAGGTACTAAATTGTTGTTTTCAACTACATGTCATCCTTAGACGGATGGACAAACTGAGGTGGTTAATAGAACATTAGGAGCATTGCTTAGGGCTATTATTTCTAAGGATATTAAGTCTTTGGATGAATGTTTTCCATTTGTAGAGTTTGCATATAATAGAGCAATTCATAGTACAACTCATTGTTCTCCTTTTGAAGTTGTTTATGGATTTAATCCACTTACGCCTCTTGATTTGCTTCCTATTCCTTCTAATATGTTTGTGAGTGACGCAGTCACAAATAAGGCAGACTTGATCAAAACATTGCACAAAGAGGTGAAGGAGAGAATTGAGACAAAAAAATTCAAAGTTGCTTCAAGGATTAACAAAGGATGGAAGAAAATCATTTTTAAACCTGGTGACTGGGTTTGGATACATTTTTGCAAGGAGCGATTCTCATCTCAACGGAAGACAAAGTTACATCCATGAGGGGATGTCCCTTATCAAGTCCTTGAAAGAATTAATAAGAATTAATAACAATGCATATAAAATTGATCTTCCCGGAGACTTTTCAGTACATTCTACTTTCAGTGTTGCTGACTTAATGATTCGAGGAGAATCCTTATGAAGAGGGGGAAATGATGATTTTTCTGATTCAATGTTGTTGACTTAATGATTCGAGGACGAGTCCTTATGAAGAGGGGGAAGATGATAAGAATGTGTTCCAAATGTTTCAACTGGACCTATTACACGATCCAAGGCGAAGAAGATTAGAAGCTGATACAATTGACGAAGGACAATTGAATATTTTTACTGCTGAAGTTGGAAAACATTAAAAATGTCAACAACAGGGTTTGAACTTGCACGAGTGAAGCTTTTATTTCTTTAGTCACTCAAACATATCAACATTTATTGAAAAATTTTATTGTTTTTTTGTTTTCATTTTGCAATGGTCAATTGGTCAAAATTGACTTAGTCATTTGTGAAGATTAAAGGGGATTGGGATTGAATCCCGACCACAAGCGTCTTTTGTCAGAAGACTATAAATACCCACAATATGTTATGTAAAAATCAGATTCGTGGATGAATGTAATTCAGATCTCAAATTGAGACGTTTCCCTTAGAAATCCGAGCATCATATTTGCCATTTCTAAGTTTAAAGCAATTCTTGTGGTAGAATTGCACCCGAGTCATTCAATCAAGCCTTGATCAAGTTAGATTGTGGAGTGACTCAATTTAGAACAAGGTCCCAAATCTTGCTTCTAGATCTTTGATCGTAAGAGATAATCTAATTCTAGCTTTATCTCTTGGTTGATCCAAATTTCGTATAAGAAGATGTTAATTACTTTGATTCAAGGGTTCTTGCTAAAACAAAAGCTTGGATCGTTGGGTTGAGGATTAGAGTTGCCTTATCATAGGGATACTTCCCTTTTAGATGATAAGTGTGGACGTGCACAGTATGATAATGAGGGTATTCATGGGAAGCATGACACTAGAGGTTCCGCTAACCTCCGGATGTCGCTACAGACAACTAGCTTGACCAGAGATTGTCCAGGGGGTGTGCGAGCCACCTGGGGATTCACACTCGCACATGTGGGTCGTGTGTAGGGAAGTACTACACATCCACAGTAGTCTGGACTAGAGGTCATCCCTAGTATGAGATGAAAAAGAGATAGGTCCCTAGAGCGAGCATATTTGCATGTGATTGTATTTAGCATGACCCCTATAGTGAGGTCACTAAGTATTTTTCGAAATATTCAAGTCGTGTGTCACATTATTTTTCAGGTAAAGGCAAGGTGCGCATGTGCTGATGACGACGACATCGCAAGCAGAGACTGTGACTCGTGCATGAGATTTACTCATATTTAAATTCCTAGTCTTAGGTCAGAATAGTTTTCTTGCATTTCATTGATTTAAATCATTTTGTATTTGTATTTATTTTCTTTAAATTTTCAGTATTTCGTATTAAACCCAAAGATCAATACATAAAACCATGACTATATTTTTCAGACATAGAATATATTTTAAATATTTTCAACATTTATATTATATTATAGACGATGAATTAGATTCTATGAAAAATGGTAGCCAAGTAGAAATTTTGAGTCACGAAAATGGAGTAAATTGAGGTTTTTAAGAAATTAAAAAGAAATTTGAAGGACCATAAACGGTTTATTGTGTAATAATTTATTAAAGTATATCAAAAGAATGGTACATGGATGAATTGAAACTAGTTCGAATAAAGTGATTTTGAAAATAAGATGATTAAGAATGACCTAACAAAAATTGAAAGTTACTATCCATACTATCAACATGAAAATAGAGGATTGAGTTATGAAAATTTTTGGATTGGGTCTCGTTACCAATCCAACAACCCAAACTTTTGTGTTGGTCCAAAAAAATTTCTCAACCCAACCGACCCTAAGTCTCCTCAAGCTTTTGATTAATTTTTGTTAAGAAATTTTGGCCGAAATTCATTTCCAAGTGAATAGATCGGAGTGACCTTGATGTTAGGTTAAATATTAGTTGTAATGGTTTGTAAGAAGTATGATAATTTTTTCTATTAAGTATGCTTTAACAAAAATTTAAATCTTATTCACTCGTCTAGAGTTATGATACGGGCCCATTATCACAATTGGGGGGCTCCCACATCGATTGGAGAGGGAACGAGAGCCAACGAGGACGCTGGGCCCCGAAGAGAGGTGGATTGTGAGATCTCACATCGGTTGGGGAGGAGAATAAAACATTATTTGTAAGGGCGTGGAAACCTCTCCAGACTCATTTTAAAACCTTGAGGGGAAGGTTAGAAGGGAAAGTCCAAAAAGGACAATATCTACTAGCGGTGTGCTTGAGTTGTTACACATGTGATATCTATTACGTCAACATGTTGTGAATGAAATGAAATACTATGTGTATCATGTCATGTCTTTCCATGTAAAGTTATGTGAATGATGCATATATGTACTATGTCATGGATGAAGGGAAAAAGAGAATGATGTTAATGCTCTTCTATGAACGAAAATTTGTGAGACCTCAAGCATGTATGTATATCATATGCATCTGGATGCTTCCCCATATATTATGTTAGTACGGACGCATACCTTCGATATTTATATCACTCTAATCCATAGTTCTAAATTTATGTTTATCCATTTAATTAAGTTAATGAGGTTGAAGGACGAGTTAAAAGAGCTTATATTAAGTTAAAAATAAAAAGGGTGAAGATTAGAGAAAAACATGGAAAACGTGTGCAAGAAGAGAGAAGGGGTAATTGTATTACTTGGCTTGTAATTGAAGGGATACGACATGAATAGGTGTGGCAGTTAAAACCACTGGTCTGAGCTGCTTTCACTCACTGCCTCACTCTCCTATTTTCCTTTTTTATTTTTATTTTTTTTTTTTTTTAAAAAAAAAGTGAGGGAGGCGTCCGGTGGTGGTTGTGTACGAGTGGCGGCGGCGCCACCGTTGGTATGGAAGAAAAAGTCTATTCTCTCTCCTCCACCCCCCACTTGTCAGCTTTCACTCATCCAAAGCTCACCCCCTCCCCTCTCTCTCTAATCCACAAATTAATTTTATCTCCAAAATTAAAATAAATAAAGAAATAAATAAAACTAATTTCCCTCTCAACTAAAAACTAGGATTACTAATTTCACTCCCACCCTTCGTTTTGTTTTAACCATACCCCAAACCCCTTTTTAGTTTTTCACTGCAACAGCACAACTAACCTAACCCAACTCTTCCCAGCCTCTCCCTATTTCCTTCCTTTTTACCCCCCTCATTTACCACTCCATCATTCCCCCCCCCCCCTCTCTATATATATTCTTCTTTTCTTTTTCTTTTTCTTTTTCTTTTTTTTTTAATTTCGTACATATAGATATATATATATATATATATATATATACACACACACACACACACATTTTCTTTTAGAGTGTACATGGCAGCTTTCATCGTGGACCACGACCTTCAAAAGCCCAACTTGAAGCATTTCTGTAAAATCTGCAAAAAAGGATTTGGGTGTGGGAGAGCCTTGGGCGGTCACATGAGGGCTCACGGCATAGCCGATGATTCCACCTCTCCCCCTACTATTGACGACGATGATCCTGTCTCTACCGATTGGGACGACACTCATCATAATAAATCCAATCTGGGTCCCACCAATCGTCGTATGTACGCCCTACGAACCAACCCAAATCGTCTTAAAACTTGCCGCGTGTGCGAGAATTGTGGCAAGGAATTCTTCTCTTGGAAATCCTTTCTTGAACATGGCAAATGCACCACCACCTCTGATGACCTTGACTCTCTTCTTTCTTCCCCGCCTTGCTCCGATGACGATGATGACGACGATGATGATGATGATGATGAATGTAGCGGTGCCGTGCGGAGAGGTTCGGGTAATCATAGTAATAATAATTGGTTGAAGAGGAAACGATCGTTGAGAGTGAAAGTTGGGTCTCCGGCTTCTAATGAAGATGAGGACCTGGCTAATTGTCTTATTATGTTGTCGAATGGCGCGGTGGAGCCCATGTTTGAGGAGGACGAGGCGGAGGTAGAGGTAGAGGCCGAGGCCGAGGAATCCTGCGCTTCCGCTAGTAAGGAAGATCATCATCTTATTCTCCACCACAATAATATTAGAAAACCCATAAATGTCATACCGCCACTCTCCTATAGACTTCCGGATCAAGACAAGCCAAAAGCAGCTGCGCCTAAGGGTATGTTCGAATGCAAAGCGTGTAAGAAAGTATTCAACTCGCACCAAGCCCTCGGAGGCCATCGGGCTAGCCACAAGAAGGTCAAGGGCTGCTTTGCCGCACGCCTTGACCATATGGAGCTCGACCCACGTGAAAACGATGACTTATTCGAGGATTCATTTTTTCCTACTAAACCCAACAATAATTCATACGAATTGGGGAGTTCCACCATGGCTTCCAGTTCTAAGAGGAAAACCAAAGTACATGAATGTTCAATTTGTCATAGGATTTTTTCTTCCGGTCAGGCATTGGGTGGCCACAAGCGATGCCATTGGATTACCTCTAATGCAGCCGCGGAAGCCCCACCTCCACCTTCTATTGCAAAGATTCATCAATTTCATGAACACAGGGTGCCTCCTCCTCCCTTTGATTCAAATTCAACTGTTGTCCTCCCGCTCGACCTTAAGCTTGATCTCAACCTACCAGCTCTGGCCGACGAGGTTCGCCGACCAGCGTTCGAGGTTTCAACGGAGATTTACTTACAATCGTGGATTTGTAAAAACAATAAGGTGGATGAAAATGACCCACGAGAACAAGGACGACGGCGACAACAACAACACCACCACCACCAGAGCGACAATGAAAACAAAGTCGTCGTAAAAAATGAAGAAGAAAACAATTGCGTCAAGAATAATAGTATTATTCATAATAATAATAATAAGAAGAAGAACAACCACAATAATAATAATAATGTGGAGGATGAGGCGGACAGTAAGGTGAAATTAGCGAAATTAAGTGAGCTAAATGATACGAGCATGATTGGAGGGAATTCATCGCCATGGTTGCAGGTGGGACTTGGTTCAACAACGCCTGACCCTTGATCAGTTTTTGTGAAGCAAACCCAGTAATTAATTTTTTTTTTTTCTTTTTTTTTTTCTCCTTCACATTCTTTCATTATGTGCATTTTTGTAACAAAATCATACGAAATTAATTACAACGAGAGGACATAAATTAAAACACTTTCATATTGCTGTGGTCAGTTTTGTTTGATTCTGCATGCACTATATTTGTAGTGGAAATTCTAATTTTTTTTGTGTTTCTTTTATCTGAGTATATATATATTTTAACCAATTAAACTTGAAATAATAGCTGGTTAGTTCCAAATTGAAATGGGGGGAAGGGTTGAAGAACTTATTATGAGAATGGAAACGAAGTTGTTAGGGTTCTTGAACTTTTGAGTAATTGAGAGGGTTTTGATTAATTAAGTTGGGGTTTTACATCTGGAGAAGGTAAAGAAATTGAAAGTTTTTATTAGGGTTTTATTTTGTTACCTTTTTCGGCCAAAGACTTCCGAATCAGTCGTGGATTAGTCACCGTTTTCTTTACCTTGAGGTCGACTCATTGTTTGCAGAGTATTGATCAAAGAGTCGTGATCATTAGAGGATGAAGTTTGTCGTTGGAGGAAAAAAACACAAAAGGGAAAGAATGTTGGGTAAGTGCACGCATGTGGAGCGAGGCAATGTTGCTCGAGCAAACCAGTCTAATTCAATCCAATTCGGCTATGTTATGCATTTTTTAGTGGACTTCAAACTTATTAATATTGGGTGGAACCACTTATGGTAAACTTGAAGGGCATGGCATATAATTGATATACGAATGGATCATGTTCAAATAGTAACTTAAATAATTTATGGTTGGTAGACCACCAACAATACACACTTATTTAAGAAATAATACTTTATTTAAGTTAAATTTAAATATCATGACACATGTAAATATTAATATATATTTTTTTCTTTTGTATGTTATATATATAATATTAATTTGAAACTTTAAATTAAATATATGTTTTCTTCTTTTATATTTAATATTAATTGAAATATTTTTTTAAAAAATCAATTAAATCAATCATTTTAGTATTATTATGAGCTAGCAAGACAATCGTATGAATTTATAGCCCTTAATAAAATTACTCCTCTCTTTACCTTATGTAAAATGGTAAATTTTATCTCATGAAATTATATTTGCAAATTCTCTGTAAAAAGGTAGGAATATTGAATTGGCTTCTATAGCAATTCTCACCATGAAAATTAAAGAACACAATTATTTTAGGCAAAAATTCATAACTCACTCTAAATTAAGATCAAGTTGCATATGATCATCGTCAGAAATATTAATCTTCTTAATTACTAGCGTCACGACTTGATTTTCGAGACTTTGAGACAGCGGACGGCATGAAAAGAAAAAAAAGGAAAGTAAAATAAAACCAACAATTAAAAATATGCTAAAATTTCAAAAGATTTAAAATCATAGCCAAAATCCAAATCAATATGATATGCTACGATATATGTGATAAATTAATATGTTTATGCTATACCCCTGACTCTACCATTATTATAAGGGTATGGGGTTTGCAGCATATCAGTTTTTCCTTTATACTTTACTGGGATCCGTTTTTATGCTATTAACTATTCTGCTGATTCTTCTCCAAACAAGAACCACCGATTTACAAATCTCATTAACCACTGAATTTAGTGAGCGGCACGTGAAAGTTGTTTTCCATCAGACGACTCTTTCCGTATGATACGATAAGTTATGGTGTGATATGTGGAAAGCATACACGGGTTATGTTATATAATAGTTGTGACATATGATATAGTATGATATGTATATGATGAGAATTGTTATGTTTGGAAACATGGAAATATTATGATATGACATATATATGCAATATGATTGATATGCAAAACGATGAGCTAACATGAAATACAACCTCGACACACGCATGAAAGATATGATAAACGATATGAAAAATGATACGATATGAAGGAAGACGCTAGTAGGGTTGAATTAAATGATAATAAAAATGAAAAAATGTTCAGATCTCATGCATTATTGTGTGTTCATGCTTCGGGGATACCCCATTCTCCTTCACGATAGTATAGACACGTACGCTATGAGACAGGGGAACGATCATTATGTTTATTATAATGCTGCTGTGAAAGTCGCTATTTCTAACAGGTGTCCGGCATCAATAGCTACAGAAAATGCTCGCCCGATTAGAAAGAGCCCAGGAGATGTGCGAACCGATTAAATAGAAATTTGAAGCTCGTAAAAGAAAAAAGAAATTAATATGATAATTATTGAGTATAGTTAATGAGCAAAATTATAGGCAATACAATATTGTTGACTTTTAGATACACTTTTTTAATAGTGTAATAATTTAATTGCTTGGAAGTCCACTCTCTCAAACACCACATCTTCTAATTCAACCTTAATTATTGTTCATATCCCCACTTCATTATTTCATTACCTCTTCCCCTTTTATTTATATATATATATATATATATATAATTTTTTTTATTGAGTAAAAAATTTTAAAATTTAAAACCCTAAACCCTAATTTATAATTTTTTTCAATCTATTTGAGCTATTTAATTAAATTTCTTGTTTTAATAAAATTATAATATTATTTATTTACTTATTTTTAAATATTGAATTAAGATTTATATATTTTGAAAAATTATAAGCTAAAAACTAAAAATTTATAATTTTTTTTGGATTTTCCTTTCGAAATTCCACTCAAGATTTTTAAAACGATGTGGAATCTCACGATCTTATAATTATATTTTATATTTGATTGATTACAAAGTGCTTTCTAAATTCAATCGGGCATTAGATTGAATTAAATAAAGGGTAATAATCTCTTCTTTTTTTCTTTTTTTCCTTTTTTTTTTTCATCCACAAGATAACAAATTATATAAATTTTATTTTCTAAACAACATTTATTGGTGTTATTATTATTTTATTTATTCATGTGAGATCTCATCTAGAAAATCATCCAATTTTTAGAATACAAATAGTAATTATAATAATAATATTATTTTTTTTAATGAATTACAATCTAAAGAAATTAATTTAAAGATTATAATTTATTGTCATAATATTACTACCTTCCTTAAAATATTGAATATAATTTTTTAAAAGGTACTCATAAAAATAATTGTTATTACAAGGAATAATAAACATATAAAAATTGAAATATAAATATTGAATTATCATGAAAATATAATGACAAATTAAATATTAAAAAAATATTTATCATAAATATAGGTATTTTTATTTTTATGTGTAAAAAAGCGGGGACAGAATGGAAAATTGCGCAGGGACAAAAATACAATCTTCGTCTCTAACCTTAGTCCCATTTAAACGAGAATTTCTCATACCATTCGTGTCTCCACCAGACCCTAACTCTAATCTCGTAAATGAATATCGAGTAAATGGGTACAAAAGTAAAGAGAAGAAGAAGAGACCCTAACTCTAATCTCGTAAATGAATATCGAGTAAATGGGTACAAAAGTAAAGAGAAGAAGAAGCCCAATTGGCGTTATATTTATTTTAATTCATTTATTAGCTCCAACTTTTTTATTAATGACTTTAAATAGTGAATGCTTAATATTTAATTATAATTCATTTATTAGCTCCAACTTTTTTATTAATGACTTTAAATAGTGAATGCTTAATATTTAATTAAGTTCATGCATTGTCCAAAGTATACGAATGAGTCGATGAATTAAAAATTAATTTAAATTAGTATATTTTAGATTAGAAATTTCACACATATATATATTACAATTACTTGATAATTAAAGTGAAATTGCAAACTTAATTTATTATAAAAGAAATTTTGATATTATTGTTTTATTAAAATTAAATTTTTTAATACTTCTCCCAAGAACCTCTAAGAATTTTCGAATCTTTATTTTTCTGAATCAACAAAATGCATATTCGACTAGTATGAAGAACCTCTAAGAATTTTCGAATCTTTATTTTTCTGAATCAACAAAATGCATATTCGACTAGTATGAATGACTATGATTTCGGTTCAAGGACATTTGTTACTATGATTTCGGTCTATTGAGACTCTGACAAAGTATGAATGACTTTATGATGTTGATGTGTATGTTATTAGGAGAATTTTCCTATTTTGCTTCTCCATAAAGCAGGTTGGGAAGTTGGAATACCCCTTTATGCCCCTAATTACTCGATTAGATTGATTAGATTACCTAATTAGGGAAAATTCCTGATCGTGAATTTACCTTAGAGTGGTGAAGGTTTACTTATTATAGAGGAATGCAACATCACCCATTTAAAGCCCGTGACACATTATATACTACTAATGAGGGAGTTCCGGTTGTGGTTAATTGAGAGTTTGTCTTGCACTATTTCGATTAGCGCTTAGTAGTAGACATATACGAAACCTATTAAGGAGAGTGCAGAGAGTTAGCTAATAGGGACACTTGATTCATGCTTGTTAGGTCCACACTCAACCCCAAAACTTGATGAGGGCACCTCTGACTCATACACTAATCGTGTATTGACTTAGATGGATCAAAGAGATTGGAGATTAATTGTCTTAAGTCTTACACCTCATAGAATAGAAGTGATGAGGTTGAATGAAAGTATGAGCTTGATAAGGCTAGATGACCGAGCCATGGAATTGGCTAACTTTAGGGCCGACTAGAACACATAGTCTTAAGCACATCTAATAAGAGATAAAATTCAACTAGACTGTACAAGTAGGTTGTTTACTGAATATTTTTATACTCATTCTTACTATTTTTTATTTTCGAGATAGATCATAAATAGATGGTCGATGATAAGAATGTGCAAGAGCCATATAGTTACACAAGACAATTAAATCCAAATTATTTTTACGATGATTCATGATTCAAAATCTCGAAAAAGAAACTATTAGAATTTAAGGCGATGATGCCACACGCTAGCTAGCTAGTGCATGTACCTTTACAGTTTAACGATAACCCTTTTGAATTAGGAGCTGAAATTAGTAAAGAAAGTCCCGGAAACCGCGTG